GAGTCTTTTCTTCCGTATGTTAAAATTAAGCGCAGCCTTCGATTTCTCATTACAGTAATTGTGGGGGAAAAAATTATATATTATGTAAAGTGTGAGGTATTTATACATGATGCAAACAATTGCTCATCTGCCTATAATTAATGCTGATTGAAATGAAACAAGTGTAATACCTTTTTTTCCCATTAGATTTTGGGTTGAAATGTAACTTGGATGTGTTTTTGTGATATTCATACCGCTGTTGTTTTGAGTAGCATTAATCACAGACATCCAAAAGCAACTTGAGCTATAGGCTTATACGAAATGTAACGTCTGTTTCAATAGTAGAACCCATACAAGCTAATTGTTTAAGATCTTTCGAAAGTAATCATAATGTAATAAAAAATAAGCAGAATCTCCTTCAATTGAAATGCTGCTACCTATGTCTTTCCTTTGCCTTATCAGATGAAGTGAAGTTTTTGAGGATTTGTTAAAGGGCTGATTGTTTTTTTTAAATTTTTAAGTGAAGTTTTTGAGGATTTGTTAAAGGGCTGATTGTTTTTTTTAAATTTTTTTTTTTATTCCTGTTCATCAATAAGCTCGTACCACATGCCCTGTGAGTCCTGCTGCATCATGTAGCCGTTTTCATCCAAGCCCTATGAGAGACATCACCATAATATTTAATAGGGCTTATGGTAAACCAAGTATCCTATGTTGGACATATTATAAAGCAGAATATCTCTAATATAAACAACATAAGACTATCAACATCAGTGAATTCTCAGTGGACACCATGTAAAAAAAGAAGCAGGGATCAATCACAAACCTTGAAACCAAGAAATTGTACATTTTGATATGCAAACACTAAAAAAGTAAACCCAAATGCTGCACAAAATCTGTTCGTAAGAGGGTGGGTGAAGGTTTAAAACAAGCACAACTTGTTTACGGAGATGTCAGGGACAGATTTCTCAGTAAAGACTTATTTAAAGAGCACTTTTGATAAAGCACAAATGTGCCCTTGACCTAACCAACAGCACTGAGTACCACTTTAAAAAACTGAAGCGTTTTCTCCAAACCAAGTCGATCTATATGCATGTACAAATGATAAAAATCAATAAACTTTTTATCTGGAAACGACTAAGGCTGCTTTGTGCATGTGTCTGTGTCAAATGAAGTTGTCACAGTAAATTACTGCTGTGGTTGTGTGATTTTTTGACTGGCCTAGATTAAACTTTTGCATGTCGAATGATTTAATGTTTAGATTCAGAAGTGGTTCATATGGTGTCAGTGTAAGGCTGACATCTTTTATTATTATTATTATTATTATTATTTCCTGATATTTAGATGTTTAAGAAAAACATGCATTCATTTTTTTTTTAAGGGATCTCTAAATTTTCAGTGGTTTTTACCAGCATGCTACAGATGGCGTCAATCAAGCTTTTATTTAATGTGGAATATTTTTTGAGATCATATAGGGAACTAAATTATGTCATGTCTGTATTTTTTTCTGGCAATTATGGAGAAGTGTGTTTGCCTTCTAGTCCATGCTTACCTAAAAATGATTCACAATCTTTTTTTTTTATGTTTAATCAATTATATGATCTATAAATTATTCAAGATGTACGGTTTAATTTAAGCTATACCATTTAAAAATTTGAGGTTGGTATGCTTTTTAACGTTTATGAAAAAAGTCTCACCAAGGCTGAATTTATTTGATCAAAAATTCAATAAAAACAGCAATATTGTGAAATATTATTCCTATTTAAATGAACCGTTTTCTATTTGAACATTACATTTTTTATATTATGTTTTTCTTGCAGACACGAAAACAAACAAACAGACCCTTCTGTATACAATAGTGCAATATGTAAAATGAAGCATGATAATAAGACAAAAAAGGAGAATGGCTATATATAAAAGACCAACATATCCTACAAAGAGTAATTACAATACAAATGATTGCTACAAACCTAAAACAACTGAATACATCATTAGTCCTTGTGGCTCGTCAGAAAAGAAAAAACTGGTTCCCATATTTTGCAGAGTTTCCAGAGATGGTCTATCTAATTCTTTCTAGATGTAAGGTAGATGTGAGTCCAGTTAGCCAGTCAGAAATGAGAGGCCTACAATTTTTCTTCCACAAAAACAGAATAACTTTCTTAGCTACAAACATATACAGTACCATATTGGACACAGGTAACCTTACCTTCGAACTGCGTGACTCCAGCAAATCTGACCAACCAAAAATTGTTATCATTGGGTCGGAGAGTAAAACACAGTTACAGACCTTAGCAAAAAACTGGAATATTTCTAACCATAAACTCTGAATCTGCAGCTTTACATTATCACATATGGGGGAGACGGAAGGATAGAATTTGCTAAGCTTTGTTTTAGAATAGTGACGTCTGTGTAATACCTTGTACTGAATAAGTTGATGTCTTGAATTTAAAAACATGAATAAACAGTTAAAAAAAAACATGAATAAACGGCTAAATATTTTTGTGGGAACTGTGATACATTTCCCCCCCAATGTTTGAAAGAACAGCATTTATTTGAAATAGAAATATTTTGTAACATAATAAATGTCTTTACTGTCACCTTTGATCAATTTAATGCATCCTTGCTACATAAAGTATTTATTTATATATATAAAAAAAAGACTGACCCCAAACTTTGAGCGGTAGTGTATATGTTATGCTTTGTGAGACGTGCTGCATTTAACAAACAAACACACCAAAAACAACCGGAAATTCCTTATTTTCAACACATTTTCTTCAATATTGTCTGTAAATGTTTCTGAAACTTTTCTCCAACTAGAGCATAAAGCACTGGGTTTAAGCAGCAATGTGAAAAAGCCAACAGTCGGCAAGCATAAAATGCATAATCAAGACGAATGGATACATTACAGTCTATGAATGAAGACAAACCATAATCCTGCAGGATTCTCAAGAACATAAGAATGTTGTATGGAGCCCAACCCATGAAGAATACCAGCCCGATGCAGAATATTAGTTTGATAGCCTTGTGTCGCCACTTTGTTCGGGATTGTGCGATTGTCTGGAACATTCTGACTTGACAAAATCCCATGATGCAAAATGCAATCAAGAAGAAAACATTTTGTAAATAAACAGCGGCATGTTTTACTTGAATGCTGTCAAATTCACAGTAAAGAACCCCTTCCTGTTCTAAGACTTGGCTACGAAGGGAGATTAACAGTGCAGCTGTTCCACTCAAGATCCATACGATAAAGGGAGCAACCGAAAAGCATCTGCATCTCTCCCAGTCAGACAGAGGATGAACCACTGCCATGTAACGCTGAACGGTCATTACGGTCAAGAACAACACGCTGCTGTAAAAGCCCACATAGAAGAAGAACTTCACAGCTTTACAACCAACCTCTCCAAATGTCCAACCCCAGATGTAGTACGAGGCCCAAAACGGAAGGCCAAAAGTGAACAGCAGATCTGACACGGCTAAATTGAGGATCAGGATGTTGATCAGCGATCTAAACTTCTCACACAGCACCAGGATGGCCAGAACCAGCAGGTTACCAATGCAACTAAACACAACCAGAAGAGCGAAGAAAACTGGAATAACAATGGATCCAACTTTGACCACCTCTTCTTTGCGACAAAGTTGGTCTTCTGGTTCTGTAGATGTATAGTCTTCAGTCATGATGTTCTCTATATGATCACATTCATTTTGTTATTAGAATGTATTATTATTATATTTTATTATAATTCGATATTTACTTAAAACATGTATTTACTAATAAAATAATAAAGAAAGAAGAATATTCTTACCTTAAGTTTTTCAGTTCTATTAGTACTACTTATTCTGGCAAACTGAAACAAATCGCTAGAAAACTGTGCGGCAAATTGAGGCTAATATTGAGTGACGTGGATGTTTTGGGAGGGATATTTTTTGGGAGTGTTTTTATGATCAATGGGAGGGTTAAAGACACCTACTTGAAAACTCAGCTATTTCTCTTTTCCTTGACAAACGTGAAATGAAAGTATTGTTCTCACAATGAAGGCAGTTGTTCTTTAAAGTGTCGTGGCAAAAACAGTTACATAATAATATTCACATGATTTGTTTCCTTTTCATTATTAACATGAAAAGGAAACAAATCATGTGAGTACTATTAGGTAAACCAGCTATTTTGAAACTCCCATTAACTGGCAACTACCTTAAAATGTTACTAAGGAATTGCCACAACACTTTAAAGAACGACTGCCTTCATTGTGAAAACGATACTTTCATTTCACATTTGTCAAGGAAAAGAGAAATGGCTTAGTTTTGAAGTATAGCTCTTGCCCTCGCTTTTGTTTCAAGTTTAAAATAAACAGCAGGCCAGAGTCATTAAATAGATGAAGAAAATGCTTTTCAAATCATGTATTTATGCCATAATTATAACTGCATTTAAACTAGGCTACAAACTAATAATGTTATTAACCTGCTAAAAAAATAAATGCAGAAAAAATAAGTTTGGCATGATCTCAAATCTTCAATTTTCCTGTGTGTGTAGGTCAATGATGATGCTGTGCTTCCTTCCACAGACCATGATTTACACTGTCACGTGAAAAAAAGAACATTTCCTCTCATAACTACATTTGACGTATTTCACTGCACAAAATTGCATAATCTGCATTTTCACATACAGTTCTCACGGTTTATTTTACAGTAATTTTAGCTGGGAGTATTTAAGAAGTTCATCACTTCATTCACAACATACTGTATGTTCCTTAAAAAACTGACCTGATTTGTTTGTGTATTTGAATTGGAACGTGCTTTTACACAAAGATAGCATTGAAATATTTTGTTGGTTTCAGGTGTTCTTTGTAATTTGTTTGATCATTTGAGCCCACGAGCAGCCAGATTGTTCAATCTTTAAAAATTTGTAGGAAAACAAACATTGAAGGAATAGTTCACCCAAAAATAAGAATTTGCTGAAAATGTATTCACCTTCAGGCCATCCAAGATGTAGATGAGTTTGTTTCTTCAACGGAACAGATTTGGAGAAATGTATCGCATCACTTGCTCACCAGTGGATCCTCTGCAGTGAATGGGTGCCGTCAGAATGAGAGTCCAAACAGCTGATAAAAACATCACAAGTAATCCACACCACTCCAGTCCATCAGTGAACATCCTGAGAAGTGAAAAGCTGCAAGTTTCTAAGAAACAAATCCATCAAGACGTTTTAACTTTAAACCATCATGTCCGTCCATAATCACGCTTCCTCCTATGAAAAAGTCCATCTCCTGTTGTCCTCTCACTTCAAAATCCACAGACATATTAGTTTAAAACTGTTTTGGACTGTTTTTGCTTGTAAACAGTGCTTGATCTGTGCGTATTTCTCTTCTAAATCAGACAAAACGACTTTTTCATTGGATAAAGTAATATTATTGATAGAGGACTTGCATTTTAGCTGAAAGCAGTGGCTTGAAGATAAAAATGTCTTGATGGATTTCTTTCTTACAAACAAGCTTGGAATGGAGACTGGAGTGGTGTGGATGATTATGATGTTTTTTTCAGCTGTTTGGACTCTCATTCTGACGGCACCCATTCACTGCAGAGTGTCCATTGGTGAGCAAGTGATGTAATGCTACATTTCTCCAAATCTGTTCTTGTGAAGAAACAAGCTCTACATCTTGGATGGCCTGAGGGTGAGAAAATGTTCAGCAAATTCTAATTTTCTGATGAACTGTTCCTTTAAATGTGAATAACAAAATTAATACTCCGGAGATTTTTTCTTTTTTCATATATTTGAATCTTTTCACAAAACCTCCTTGAAATTTCTCGTGAAGTATTACAAAACATTGCATCTACAAAAACTAAAATCGCTGGGTTTATGCAGCAGTGTGAGAAAGCTTTCATTCGGCAAGCATAATATGCATTTTCTACACTAGTGCTTACTTTACAATCAGTGAATGGGTGGAAGGTCAAAGATTTTAGGAACATGACAATGTTATATGGAGCCCAACCAATAAAAAACACCAGTGCAATACAGAATATTAGTCTAACAGTCTTGTGTCTCTTATTAGTCCATGATTTTGTGATCGTCCGCAGCATTCTGCCATAGCAATAACCCATGATTAGGAATGCAATGAAGAAAAAAGCATTTTGAAAATAAGCAATGCCAGATCTCCATTCAATACTGTCATATTCACAGTATAGGCTCTCAGATTCTGTCATGACTTTGCTATGAAGTGAACCGAGCAGTGCAACCGTTCCACTCAGGATCCAAACGATAAAAGGAGAGACGGAAAGGCCTCTGCATCTCTCCCAGTCAGACAGAGGATGAACCACTGCCATGTAACGCTGAACGGTCATTAGAGTCAAGAACAGCACGCTGCTGTAAAAGCCCACATAGAAGAAGAACTTCACAGCTTTACAACCAACCTCTCCAAATGTCCAACCCCAGATGTAGTACGAGGCCCAAAACGGAAGGCCAAAGGTGAACCGCAGATCTGACACGGCTAAATAAAGGATTGAGACATTGGTCAGGCATCTGAGGCTTTTGTAGAGCACAAGGAAAAGCAGAATGAGGATATTACAGATGCAGCTCAACACAACCACTGCTGTGAAAATGAGTGGAATAGCACTGGATCCGACTTTCACCTCCTCTTTGCGACACAACTCGTCTGAATAGACTTCAATTAAGTAGTTAGGGTCAACTGTATTCTCATCAGTCATGTTGTTTTTTGCTATTTGTACACTGGAGGAAAACAACAACAAAACATTGAAAATATTTTCACTTAGAAAGTGCTTGTAATTTTCTGAAATAATTACAAAAAACAGCAAGTAACACATTGAATTAAACATGAAAAGACTGAAATAGTATTTTCTTGTAAAACATACTCCAGCAATCTTTGTTCGATTTATGGCGTTGACGGTTTTATTTACGGTGTATACTGTATTAAAAAAAAATAGGTAGAGAAACAATATTTACTCAGAAATTGCTTTTACATTTGACTAATAATTACAAAGAAACATGAAGTTGCAAATTGAGTTAAACGTGACATTTTGAAGTCGTAAAACTGAACGAGTATTTTCTTTATTTGCAACTTTGAAAAATCATTTTTGTCAGTGTATGGAAAGATATTAATACAATCTCTGCCTTTTCATTAAGTAAAAATGTATAGACGTTATATCAGTCAGTTTAGCTTTAATAACTTTGTCAAATGAATATATACAGTACATGACTTACCTGAATTATTGATGATATTGATCTAGGTAGACCTCAGTGATGATCAGAACAGCATATTAACCGACCAATCCAGACGATTACAATCTCTAGTATAAAATGATCTGCAGTTTCATGAACTGTTAATATATCGACCAACTATAATAACTACAAGTTATAAGAACGTGTCAAGTCAGTGTATTAAAACAGCATGCTGATTTCTGAGTGATGTATGGCAAGCAAATGAATAAATCAAATCTCAGATATTTTCTTCCCATATTTCACAGAAGAAGCTGAAGTGGCTTTGTGATCTTTACAATTGAAGCAACTGCTCTACTTAAACTATTTTGCAATGACAGAGGAGGCAACAAATACCACAGGAAAGTCACCTACTTTCTAATGAGCAGAGACCCAAATAATGTCAAATGTGTCTGCTCTTCTCTGCATTAATGACGACACATGGGGTTCTTTCATTACATACTTTCAGTTATATTTTTATATGCAGAAATGAGATTTTCAACAAACACAAAAAGGAAGAAGAACACATGGTTATAATTTAGAACATGATTTTCTCACAACTGAATGCGTTTTACTTTTGAGTCTTCTCTAGCTTCATAAGAGAGTCTCGTGCTCAAAATTTCCAATGAAACAGCAATAAATTTTGCTATCAAAAGTCATTTTCATTTGGTTTGTAACTTCATTTCCTATTATACTGGGGGAGAAATGGAGTAGCATTTACATAAAAAAAGCTAGGGAACAATTAGCAAATTTCACAAATAATTACAAAGAAAATGAAACTGACACATTTAATTCAGTATAAAAAAAATTAAGTAAAATGTGTAGAAAGACTGAAACAGCCTAGCATTTGTAATCGTTTTATTTACAAATTTGTCAAAGCATCACAAAGTCATACATTAGCTAAATGTATTGCTCATTCAGATTTATCCGATGAATTCTTTTACACTAATTTTCCCCACTCATTCCTTTGCTAGAAAACAGAAAGAACACCTTCAATAAACTTGAGGCAGAATTTATGAGGATATAAACCTGATTGGATGTAAAACTTGTTTTACACGTTTTGTGCCTATACTGTGTATGCTAATTCATTTTCTGACTGTCGATTTGCCCTGCTATTAATTGAGAAGTGTATTTATTTCACTGATAAATGCACTCTAAAAAGGGGTTCTTTACACTTAGTAACAGTTCTAGTTTGTCCTGAAGAACCATGTTTTGTGTGTGTATGTGTGTGTGCTAGAATGGTTCTTTTCCCCACCTTTTTGTTTTTGAAATCTGTAGCTGTCAAAAAACATTGCATTTTGAAAATCCTTTCAAAGTGTTACGGTTGGTGCTAATAAAGCTCACGGAGACGAGGATTAACACTAGACAATAGACTTTAATAACAAATACTGGGGACAGGAATGAAATATACATCAACATAAACCGACAAACACTGAGGGAGAACTGAGGACTTATAAGCATGAACCAAACAAAGGAACTAATGAGGTAACTAACAAGACAACAGGTGGACAGAATGAACTAATTAGAACTTTTACTTTTTTTTTTCTTTTTTTTTTTAGAAGCTTTTACGTAAAGGTCCCCTGAAATGCCTTGAAACACGCAGCGTTATTGGGACAGGAATGAAATATACATCAACATAAACCGACAAACACTGAGGGAGAACTGAGGACTTATAAGCATGAACCAAACAAAGGAACTAATGAGGTAACTAACAAGACAACAGGTGGACAGAATGAACTAATTAGAACTTTTACTTTTTTTTTTCTTTTTTTTTTTAGAAGCTTTTACGTAAAGGTCCCCTGAAATGCCTTGAAACACGCAGCGTTATTCTATGTGGTGACCATTTCAACTGAAACAGGAAGACAGGGTGGGACATATCGAGCAGCCACGCCCCCTTTTTAAATTAGCCAATAGCGTTTTGTTTATATATGCACGGGTCAGAGCCGTTGAGCTCGGTAAAGCCGCATTTGACAGCCGCAGTCATGATTACCCCCTAGATTCAATATGAAACTCATATAGTAAAACAAAATAGTGATCATAATTATGCTGAGGCTGTGTAGTTTTAAAAGTGTTTAATATGCCGACTCGCGCATATGATGCTCCGTGTGGTCTCTAGACCGGAGCCAAAGTCCGGATCAGACTGTGCGCGCTGCCACAGATCACGTGACACAATGTGAAACCAGACCTCATTTGCCCCAATCAAAAGCATATTTACACTATCTGAATCGTTCCCTATCGTCTACATTGTACACTACGTGCCATTCACTGTACAGGAAGTACTACACTGTGAACAAGCGACCGATCTCAGCCATAGTTTCAGCGTCTATAGTGTAGGGGCGCATTTGATTGGTCAGAAGATTTGATGAGAAGATGAAGTACGATGTGACGTCAAAAAAATCGTTGAGCCGTTTTGGCGGAAGTGACGAACTAAAAACTTTGAATGCTTATATCTTCTAAACGCGAATTTTGCCACTGTTTTGGAGCACACTGCCTTATAGATAACCTTAAGACTAACATATTGATACTAACTTGTAAAAAAGTAAAAAACTTTCATTTTGATTTCATGGGGACTTTAAATGGAAGAGCGGAATGGATTCTATTTAACACCGAAAAGGGTTCTGCTATTGTTACAAACGGAAGAATTTAGAACCATTTCAGTGTAGAACAAATGTTTATAGTAAAAATGGGCAGTACTTTTTGACCACAAAAACTGACCACATTCTTAAAAATAAATGTTTTATCTTTTTTTGCAGCATTGCCATTGAAGAGCCATTTTTGGCTCTCCAAAGAACTTTTAAGTGAACAGTTCTTACAAGAATTCATTCCTAGTGTGAAGAATATTTCAATAATCTAAAGAACCTTTTTTCTCACTATAAAGAACCTTTTGAGCAATAGAAAGTTTCCATGAATGTTAAAAGGTTCTTCACGGAACCATAATTCATAAACTGGAGTCATATTTTATGATCATGCAGGATTTTACTTTTACTCTGCGTTATCCATTTAATAAACTGTACAAGCAGTGACATAAACATGAAAGTCATAATGTACATTAAATTCATACAGTAACAGACGAAAGAAGGTATATAGATATATTTTAATTTCATATTAGAATATTTTCTTCATTACTAATGACACATATGTTGGTGGGCTTATTACGTACTTTCAGTTATATTTTTACCTACAAAAATTGAGAACTTTTAACCACAAAAAGGAAGAACACTGGTTATAATTCGGAACATGATTTTCTCAGAACTGAAAGCTTTTGCTGCTTGATAGAGAGAGGAATTATCCTCTAAAGTGGCACTTTGTTTATTTCAATTTCAATTATGCCGATGTAACGATTGCAGTTATATTGGCAGAAGCTGTGCAATGGCTCAACAAGGTTTTCAAATAATCAGCTCCAGCATATCAATAATAATAATAAAAAATGGCTGCAACAGTATCTCTGTGTACATCATTCACATTGTATTTGAAAACTCAAAATTGGTTCGCTGCAATCGGTAAAAGTACTTGAGTTTTCTCTTAATACATTGAACCCTGCGATTGATTTTTTGCCAATCTGGTTTGACTGGAATTGAGGTTTTTTTTTTTTTGAAAGATCTTCTGCAGAATCATTTTTAGATGATTCCTGAACTTTACTCCAACAAAAACGTAAAACACAGGGTTCAAGCAGCAGTGTGAGAAAGCTATCATTCGGCAAGCATAATATGCATATTCTAGACTAATACTTACTTTACAATCAGTGAATGGGTGGAAGGTCAAAGATTTTAGGAACATGACAATGTTATATGGAGCCCAACCAATAAAAAACACCAGTGCAATACAGAATATTAGTCTAACAGTCTTGTGTCTCTTATTAGTCCGCGATTTTGTGATCGTCCGCAGCATTCTGCCATAACAATAACCCATGATTAGGAATGCAATGAAGAAAAAAGCATTTTGAAAATAAGCAATGCCAGATCTCCATTCAATACTGTCATATTCACAGTATAGGCTCTCAGATTCTGTCATGACTTTGCTATGAAGTGAACCGAGCAGTGCAACTGTTCCACTCAGGATCCAAACGATAAAAGGAGAGACGGAAAGGCCTCTGCATCTCTCCCAGTCAGACAGAGGATGAACCACTGCCATGTAACGCTGAACGGTCATTAGAGTCAAGAACAGCACGCTGCTGTAAAAGCCCACATAGAAGAAGAACTTCACAGCTTTACAACCAACCTCTCCAAATGTCCAACCCCAGATGTAGTACGAGGCCCAAAACGGAAGGCCAAAAGTGAACAGCAGATCTGACACGGCTAAATTGAGGATGAAGACGTTGGTCAGGGATTTGAGGCTCTCGTAGAGTGCAAGCATGACCAGAACGAGGATGTTACCGATGCAGCTCAACACAACCACTGCTGTGAAAAAGATTGGAATAACAAAGGATCCGATTTTCACCACCTCCTCTTTGCGACACAACTCGTCTTCATAGGCTTGGTTATAATCATATGTTGCATTCTCATCAGTCATGTTGTTCTGCAACAGCAAACTATTTCAGGTTTGCCCAAGTTCAGTTCTTTGTTCCCTACCGACGGTTTCTGTGGAGAATCAACTCAAACATCAACACAATCTGCATTTTCATTAAGACAAAAGAGAAAAAAGTTATATTAATCAATTTATCTAAATTTATCCCAGTGTGAAACATTTAGTTCTTACCTGTTGCTCTTTTCACTGTCAGTTTGCAAGACAATAAACTATCTCTTCTCTAACTAAACAGAATCAAACCAGACTGATATGAAATATATAAAACATTGTCCCCACAGGCTGACCTTCTTGTCCAATAGACAGGTGATCAGAGATGTGGTAGAGGTGTTCGTGTTTTTCACTATTTATACTGAAGAGGAGGTTTTTCTTCCTTTTTTTTTTTTTAAAACACACCATGCATATACAAGCATGCCAATCATGTACACAAAAGACCGTTTGTTTGTTAGACAGAAATATCAAAATTAAGTAATAATTGATGGAATAGAACAGATATCATAGAAGAATAGTGGAAGAAAAATAATTTTGTAATATATTATAATATTTAATGTTATTGCATTACATAACTAAAATAAATAAAATGATATATATATATGTATATGGTTAAATTACATTTTATTAATCAAAAAGCATGTCTAATTAATTAAAATCATGAAACTTAAACAATTTAACATCAATTTATTAAACGTTTAACAAATATTACGTTTAGGGCCCTATGAAATGTTTTATTTGTCCAAACTTATGTTTTATTGTAACCAAATTCTGTTTTATCATGTCTAATTTGAAAGCATAAAACAAGTTTCAT